GGAGCCGTCCCCGTGTACCACAGCTTGAAGCCGGTATCCTCCACTTCCTTCGCCTTCTGACTCTTCCATTTGGTTTCTTGGACGCAAAGGATATCAACCCTTCTTCTCACCGCTGCATCAACTAGCTCCCGAAGCTTCCCTGTCAGAGACCCTACGTTCCAGCTACCTAAGCGAATCCTCCTAGGCTCGGCTAGCTTCCTTACCCATTTGACACCACACCCGGGTTCCGATGTGGCGCGTCGCTGAGAGGGTTACGCCCCAACGAAAATCTAATTAGAGAAGAGGGAGTAAAATAAATTTAAGGTTGCTTTATGGAAAAGCAGGGGTAACACCTTCAGGGATATTTTATTGCTATGTTGTAGTAAATCTAGTACATAATTCTACCTAGAAGTATTTGACAATTTAGTAGTTGCTATGCTGAACTTCAGAATTTTCCTTTTTTGTGTAAGTCCCTGGGTCATCTTATTTGAGACTAAGGTAGTGTCATGTCTAAGGCTGGAAAGAGTGCATTTTATAGTCTGTGTCGTTTTTGCTCAGTGCTGTTCATGTGTATTACTTTCTCACAGAGGCCTAGTGCTAAGGAACTTCTTAAGCACCGTTTCATAAAAAATGCCAGAAAAACTCCAAAGCTTCTGGAGAGAATAAGGTATGTGATGTTGTTTTTCTTCTCTACACTTTTTTTAGTGAAACAATGTTTGACTAATAATTGAAGTGTATCGTATCTCATTGTCTTTGTGTGCCTCTTTTGGTGTTATTGGCAGAGAGAGGCCAAAATTTACAGTAAAAGGTAGCATCGATGCCACGCAAAATGGTCAAACACATATTGAAGAAGATGATTATGGAGGTACAATTAAGGTTGATAGAAATACAAGACATGCAGCCTCTCCCTCCAGGTATGTTTGTCAAAATAGTTAATAAGCTTTGTTTTGTCTTCATGGGCTTGATTATTTTTGGTCGACTATAGTCAAGGAACAGTTAGGAAAGCTGCTGGCTGGGATTTTCCTGATAGATCGGAGGGCACGGGAACTGTTCGAGGTGGTTTGAGACCACCACAAATAACCTCCACCAAGGATGGTAGATTTGATATGCCTCAGAATCCAAGTACAGTAAAACGTACAGCTGAACGAGAAAACCAATGGAGAACATCTGGGACTGGATCTGAAGAATCATTCTCAACAAACATGTCTAAGAAAGAAGCTCAAACTGATCATGGGAGGCTGGAAAGTTCTACAGAATACGTGAGATTTCCATCTACACGTGCAATCTGTAAACTCCTGATTAATGGTTAATTCTGATTTTAACCATGGCTTCTTGTCAGAATGACCAATCTGTAAGTGGGTCTGGAACTGTGGTGTTACGCTCTCCAAGAGCATCTCAGGTTTACCCAGCAGGTCCTAATCACAGTTCTAAGGTACATTGATATCAGTTTTGGGTTTTTAATATTTGCGATCCTACCTTACCCTGCAAGCAAGATACTAAGATAAGCAGCAGCATCTGATTCATCATATTCATTAGCCTCCCAGCAGATTCTCCTCGTACGAAGATATGTCTATCAGTGGGACAGTTGTTAGGAATCAAACTGAAGAAGCAGAAACGCCACGATCTTCAAGGTCAAGGCTGGGGACTCAAGAAAAAACATCAAATGCTTCACTTGAGGATAGTGCTACCAACCTTGCGGAGGTAGTGGACGTGAATGTTTTGTTGCCAAATGCTCGCTTGCTTGGTAGATGCATATTTATAATGCACTTGAGCAATATATGCAGGCAAAGGCTGCTCTACAAGCTGGGTTCAGAAAGGGAAATGCTCGAGAAAGACCAGCCACCAACAAACATGAAAAGGAATCACATGAACCTAGATTTTCTGGGGTAAACAGTCATGAGGTTCGAAGGTATTTCAAGCTTAGTTTAAGTGTTGTTTGACTTACACGTGTGCTGTTTATATCATTCCTTAGCGAAAGTATGTTCTTTGTCCTAGTGAGAATGTTGACTCGCAAAAAGGTCGCAAATCACGGCAGCCATCCGATGGGCAATCAGCCCCCCGAGCTTCTGCAGCTTCACCTGCACTCTCATCCTTGATAATTCCTTCTCTGAAAGAGGTAAACTATATTCGACGTGTTAACCTCGTGCCCTGTTATCGGAGTACATTGATTTTGCATTAGTTTGATTTTGCATTAGTGCCTCTAAACTCTCGTAAAGACCAGAGTGGGTTCAATTAAATGTTGATGGTCTTTATAGGAACCAAATTGAATGCTAGATGATCAAATCCCAATAATGGTTTAGCTGTGCCATCACTGTGATATTCCAATATCGGTCTTTGCATCCCTCCAGAAGTGTCTTCCAACTTTAGAACTTCTCTTGTAGGCTTCTGGTGACAAGTATGAAGGACCTGTTGTTCATGCAGTCCTCAGTTCTCTGATGGATCTAGAGCAAGAAATACCTGGATCCTGTGAGGTATTGGTTGGCAGAATTCTGCATCGGCTAGGGAGGTACGACCTTGACTCTCACCGTGTGTGCTTGCTCACTTTCGTACTGTGTCCTCACTCCTCAGCTTATTGTGCCTCATGTGCAGCTCGAAGGATTCATCGTTGCAAAGTCTAAATGAGACGGCAATATCGATTTTTACAAAGAAACCTGAGCCCCCCTCGGAAGCTGGAAGCAACAAGAAACAAGCTAGTACGCCACCATTGGCTGCTCCTACCGTAAGCCCTCTGGCGAGGTTCCTTCTTACCAGGTTAGTCTAGAGACATTACACTCTTTTGCCCATCTTGATATTATGCACCCAAAACAAAGGGAGGTGTAATAGCTGTTATCATTGGTGCAGGTGGCAGAACCAAGTTTCCCAAGACCTGAACTCCGTTTGATCGAAGATTCTTCCATGTTTTGATTCGGTGTATAATTAATTTTGAGTGTACATAACACTTTAGAAGAAACCCCATTCTGGTAGATGTTCTCAGCGGCTTGTGCTGCCCCCATCTGTTTGTTCTATTTGTTTTGTTTTACTAGAACAACATATCTGCTGCCCATTTTCTAATGTAACTGCTACCGCCATACATGCATGACATCTGAGATGCACAAATAACATATCCAAATTTTGCTGGTTATACTTGGGAATATTTGTGAATGACTTATTTCGGGACTGGTGACAAAATCTAACCATGCATTTGTCCCTGGATTTGTCCCTGTACATCTGTTGCTGTCAACGGTTACGGTTTACCGAGTGCAGTGGCAAAACCACGCGGGTTGCAGCCTGAGTGCTCATTTGGTTGTTGGGAAGTGAAAATCCAGGGCATGGGGCCTCTTTGATTCACAGGATTTGTAAAATGTAGGAATAGGAAAAACATAGGAATGAAGTGGCATGACATCTTCAATGCTATAGGATTAGTATAGTCTGTTTGATAGTGATAGTGCGCATGCGCAGGAAATATGTTGGATGCTTCACATGAGGTTGGAGTGGATGAAAATTTTCCTATGAAAACTAGTACAAATGAATCTGACGCAGGAAAAAAAACTAAGAATTGGAATGCTCCAAAATTCTTTTAGGAACTCTTTGAATCAATGAGGCCTAAACCTCTAGGGAAAGATTTTCCTACGCATATGGAATCCCTCCCACTACCCCAGGTGCCCAAATGGCAAAAAGGGGAGGGAAGGAAATCCCTCACAAGAGCACGTTCATGGATCAAGCAAAAATGCCGGGGTGGAAGAGGGAGGTGACA